AATTTTTCTTTTCGTACTACTCAACTTTACGCATAAATGATCTTCCCGATCTTAAAAAAGACCAATCGGTGTCTCATTCAATCAATTGAGCACACGACACGAAAGAAGATGAAGAAGGCTTTGTATATGAATGCGGGTTCAGGTTGGCAAGGTTGGAATTCCCACTCAAAAAAGGATCACAACATGATACTTTGAACCCACACAGACAGTGCTTTCGTGGAAATGGTAAAATTAGTATAAAAGACTTTCTGTGGAAATTTCTCTCATAGACCAACTCGACTGGCAGAAAGAAGCTTATTCCTTACTATTCGGGTGGGTCTTGAGGTTTTTGGAGAGACTTTGGTCGGACCCGCAGATGTGCTCGAAGAGACAATTCGGAAGATGTTCATCAAAGGTCTGGGGTGGTTCCAAAAGGAGGGGGACATTGAAGTTTGGCTTGCCAACATGTCAGGTAGACGACTAGGATTATAATGAGGTGCTTGAGTCCCGGCTACAACCTTTTTCGAAAAGTCATGGTTGCAAATCACTTGTTTTGCAGGGGAGGTCCCTGACACCATTCCATTTGGAAAAATGCTAAACGCAACGGCTTTGATTGGCAAGTCGGCTAGCGTATTCCTCAGACTTCATCCTTATTGAAAACGTAGAGGTATCGTGGTTCGCGGTCTCTACGTCATTGAACAAAAGAGTAATATCACAAGTGACCTAACACGTCGGTGAAATTTGCTAGTTGGGAACAGATCTGCAAGACATGTATCCAGACCCCATTCATAGCATGCCAAACAGAATGGCTCAACTTACTAGAAACTTTGGTAGGCCTACCGATTTCAGATTTGTCAAATTTTTCCATGCGAATTGCGCGTCAGTTCGCACCCTCAGGAGGTCCGTGGGTCCCTCAACTAGGTCAGTTTCCCTTTCTTCGACCTTCATTCTAATCGTGAAATCCTCCTCAAGTAAGCGCAAAAGTGCCTTGTCAGCAGTACTCGGGCAAAATCCTCAACGTGACCATTTTTGAAATACTGGACAAATTAAAAAATTTCAGCAGCTGTTAGTTAATTAGAGCTTCTACATAGTTCATGATGGCATATCAACATTTCAGATTGGACATGTTTGAACAAAGTTATGGCTTCGGGCAAGCAGGGTCAACCCTACGTTGGTACAAGTACCAACGGGGGGGTCGTACTTGGTTTAGCTTGGAGGGGGGGGTCGTACTATCTCGCTGGTCGGCGGATTTCTACTAATCTCCCGACTGATAATAGATGCTGGTACGGAAGGAAAGAGCAATTGGAAGTTGTTTACGCAAGAAAATTGATACAGTGCGTACCAAAAGTATGTGGACACCCTGGAATCGATTCTCAGGGGTCAGTTAAAGGCGTTTATGGTATTAAACCTCCCCCAATCCAATCCCCCTAGGCGATT